ATGAGATACTACTTATTCTTCCTGAGAGGATATTTTGGACAATGATAGGAGAAATTTCAAATGCAACAACTTTCAACTACACGTTATCAGAGAATACTGATGATATTATTTCCTAGTATTAGCATATGCACGCTCTCAACGAAACTTTGACGTTCTTCCATACGACACAATAGGGTATATTCCATCACCTTTAACGATCTCTAATGTTCCTTTCTCTGACTGTCGTTCTCTCTCTCTCTCTCTTTTCCTCTACAGGATAGTGGTGATCATCAGTTGGCCGCAGTTCTACCCTCATAGAGTTTCATGACGAAATTCTCGAGTGCGCAGACGTTGGCCATGCATGCAGTGGAATCTATTGGGGAGATTAAAGTTCGCATTTTGTCTCCGTCTCTCTTTATCTCTGTTTACTTCTATCTGTCTCTTTCTCTCTTTCCTGCGTAAAGTAGCCTCTACTACTGCTTCTCCCACAGCCATGGCTTCCAGCAATGAGATTAAATAATTTAGAAAGTCGATTGAAAATCCTACAAGCATAAAGTTAGACCTAATGAATTTTAATGCGTTTAAACGAAGAAAATGAACGTTATTTAAACAGCTCTGCACGATGATAGTCTTTCGTCAATAAGTTATTCATTCAGCGAGGAATAATAACTTATATTTTTATAAGGGAATTCATTATATATTTTATTTTTTTTCGAATATTAAATTTTATAAAAGTTAGACGATAAAAGAATACGATTATTCGATCTATGTTTTATGAAACTTTATAAACAGTGTGGATACAATTTTGAAAATTCTTTTGGAATTTTTTAAGGAAAGAAAGGAGAAAAAAAATTGAAAACATTTAGAAAAAGAGAGAATCTTGAAGAAATAAAAAAGTTTTCTCGTCCGCCGTTCCTGTATATGATTATTATACATAGTGTTGGTTCTAGCAAATAACAAAGGTTCCCACAAAAAATAAAACTATACAACAGTGGAAATATAGTAAAAGAACATATCTTCCTTTTTCAATAACAACGAAATTTAATGATAAAGTTAGCAACAAAATTATTCGATAAAAGTTGCTTGAGATTTCCTGATACGGTAGATAATGATTTAGAAAGATATCTTTTTTTGAATAGTAATTTGAAAATTGAAGATAAACAAGCAAATACATCCGATAAATTTAGCTGCTCTTAAACGACTGTCAATAAATTTGTTTAACATTAGACGTAAAATTGATTACAATGGTTGCAGAAGAAAATAGAGACCGATTAAGGAAGAATAAGAAGATTATTACTTCTCACCGTTATAGTTCAACTACATATACATCTACGCTGTATATTGCGAAGCTTTGCTAAATACAGCTTTCTCTGTTGTATTTATAAAAGAGTTAATAAATGTCGGAGTTAAAGTAAGAAAGTTTACGGACTCGCCAAATGAAAGTTATTAGCCACAAGTTAGTATACCGTACTAAACATGCGCCTCACAATGCAAACTCCTTGTAAGTATGTTCAGACTGTTCTCTTTCTCTCTCTTCCACCAGATACACATTGACTGTTCCCTTCGTGTCGGTTAACTGTTTACCAGGGGGGTGCGAGTTAAAGGAATCAATCTTCTTTCTTTTCTTTCTATAATGTAAAATCTTATAGTTAAAGTACGTCGATAAATTCAAGGATAACACATATTATGACGTCTTACTATTTTCAAGGTATTCTTTTCTGCAAATAGAAGTTAAACTATAAATATCTATTGAATAATAATATCAATGTGATAAGCAATCAAACAATCATGTAACTGGACAATTGTTATACGTCAGTTTACAATAAAAAATCAATGCAATGAAGACTATTTGGGAATTCTCAAGATATAGAAAAGTAGGGAACAAGAGAATTTATTCAAAAGTTATAACTTTCAAATGAAAATCATTAAACATTATTAAATGTTAACATCAACCTCGTCATTTCTATATTACGATCTATTTCCTTCGTCTTGGTATTTCTAAATCTCCGATTCTTCTCTCTCGAAATAAAAGAAATCAACTTTCTTGCTACCTCGTAAATAAGCAAAGTCTCCATTGATCGAGGCTTGTATACGAACCGAAGAAACGCGATAACATGATCGATTCTACAGTGTCGAGCTGCTTGTTTGCTGGGGATAGATTCACGTTAAGAAAAGAAATGTCACTGTTCTTGTTGTCGTTTATCTGCTGGTAACCCGTAGATTTGTACTACTGACTGGACTATTAGTTACCTTATCACTTATGCTATTTATATTCTTATATATACCTATATGCAGGGTATTATATATACAGTGTGGTCGACTGAAGTGTTACATACTTTGAAAGTGAAACTTTTAAGGCGACTGTAACGAAAAAATTTAATGAAATGACATGAAAAGAGAGAGATACAGAGAATAGGATAGAAGTAACAGTTGATCGTCTGTTTAACGAAATTATAGAAGGTTCTTATAATTCAATAAAATTTATTTGAGAAATTTATTGTTATCTAATGTAAACATTTTTCACGTCGATGATTTTAAAGATTTCGATAGAAATAGTTAATAACACCTTACAGTGGCCACCTTATACATCTACACCATCAATATACGTGTTCCGAGTGATAGCGTGTGGCAACCGATATAACCAGCTCTGTTTCTCTACAGTAGTGTAAGGCCAAAGAATTATGTTACCGTGCCAAGGCCTCACCTTGGAACAGCACAGCCATCTATGAATACTGTATGAGATGTTATTACTTTGATTCTCTTCGATCATATCGTCAACTCGTTTTACTGCTTACTAGTATAAGGAGAACCCATTGGCGTAAAGAGTCGATCATCAAACCCCMCCCCCCCCCCCAAAGGGATAATCTTAAAAGATTAGAAAGTGTGTTTTTGAAGTACTATGTGTACTTCGATTAGCATCGTTCTTCGTGTCTTCTTTCAATTATTTCTTTGATTAGATCGTCAAAGTTACCTGGGATATTTCTTCCCCTTTTTGTTTCATTCGATTGTACCATAGTATTATTTCGTGACGGCCTATCGACCTGTTTTAAGGTATACATATAGTATCATATATACATATACGGTTCTTTATAAGTGCCAGAGAAGGAAGAAAAATATGAGATGGTGGAAACGGGGATAAAGATATAAAAGGAGACCAAGATAGGATAAAAATGTAAAACTGTTTGGAATATAAACAGTGGGCCACTAGAATATGAGTTTCGTTCACTCTCTTTCTCCGTGAATACTATTTACCTATGGTAAACTTTTTCTACCATTACTATTGCGATCGTTATTATCATCCACCAACTGTTTATGTAACTCAATGGAAGTTTCTGAACTATTTTCAATATTCTCAGGATATTAATTTTCTAACTTTTATGTTAGATTTTATTCGTATCGATATCGATGGGTCTGAATATTGTAAATGATCTAGGTGTTTTATTTTGGAATAACGAGACCTGTGTTATATCATATATAAAAAAAAAATGTCGAATGAAAAAAATCTGAAGGAATGCATAAGGGCTGATTTAGCCGGACAGGTCGAAAAGGGACGCTCGAAACCAATGGGATATTTCCTCCCCTCCCATAACACCTTTTTTAGGAGTAAATCCTGTTTCCTTCTCCAAAAGGATCCTGAACCACATCCCACATATATAAGAGAGAATATTACAATTATTAAAAAAATATCACAATCATTGGGAGTGTATTATTATTATTATTATTGGAAAGCGTATTATTATTGTTAAAGAATATTTGATATGAGAAAAACGGTTTTTATATTGAGGAGGTTTATCGTTATTGGGAAGCTCTTAATTGGGGTTAATATTCAGCGATTTTCTATATTGCGTGGGAATATTATCGAGCGGTTTTTATTAGGCCAATTATTATTTAGAATCAGAGTAAAATGTAAAAAGTTTTCTTTTGTAGTGTCTTAATAAATAAAAGTTATTTTATTTTCACAATTATATAATTATTTACATAATCAACGAATTTATCTGGTAAAAACAAGTATCGAACGGGTTTTCATGTTGTAAGAGAATGTTATCAAGCACGCTGCTGCTAATGCTGCTATTGTAATTGGGTACTCAAAGTCTAGGGGTTTCGAATACTTGACATTACGATCACCCTATAGTTCATAGACTGTGGAGTGTCTCTGTGATAAGTACGAGAACTCTTATACTCCTTGGGTAACTTTTCTGGGATATTAAACTCTATATCTTTTTGCTGTATCTACATCGACTTCGCTCGCAAAAGAAAAGCTTTTATTGTTTTCTCTTATAGACGAGATCTTCACATTCTACCCACGTCTCTGATATGATAATTTATCGATGGCGCAGCAAAAGATAGACCGATCTTCTATTTTTCCTTTTACGTCACCCGCTCTCTTTAAAACTTCTTGTTATTCGATCGTTAACTCGATCACTGATACGGATATTAATTGGTCGCTAAGCATACGCTTTTTATCGTCGTCGATTCATGTTTTTTACCTTAATATGAACGTTTTATCAAGCGAAAAGATTGGAGAAAAATTGTACGATAATGTTGAGTTTTATACGTAACATTCACAGTGACTCGTTTTAATATTTAGAAACCGTAGCTTTTTTTAAATATGATTACACAGTACATTTATTTAAAGTGGAGTATTTTTATTACCAAATAGCATACTTTTATGAGATATCAAAAACATAGGTTTTATTTATTTAATTAACATAATTATCTATATAGCATAACAAAAGTAAAACAATGCTTACTTTCAGTGTCACAAGAACATTCGAAAATGCTTTATCTTTTGTTGCTTATTTGCTCTAAAAAATTAGGTTATTTGCTCAGAAATTTTATTTTCAAATATAGTCGTGTTAAAACACTCAATCGAAGATCATAAATCAGTTTACATTAAAAATTACAGATGTACATATATACTATATATAAGCGAAAATAAATAGCCATGGTGTTCATTAAAGTGAGTCATTCTATATGGAAATTTTCAATAACCGCATTCAAAATGCTTATCAATTTTTCAGATACGTACGAAGACAGCCGGAGGAAAGGCCAAAGTGGACTTAGTTCATCGCGATAATGAAGTATTTAAAGAAAAAAGGAAGAAACGAAAGCATAGAATAAGAAAATTAAACAAATAAGGGAAGGAAAAGAAAGACAAGTAGAGAATTGTTAGAAGAAATCACCATGAGTCACGATATTTTCAAAAATGTTTTTGCATTGGTAACAATATCGGCAATTATTATGAAATAAACTACGTGAAACTTTTTTGGCAACGAACCACTGAAGCTTATGTAACTCTCACGAGAGAAAACATGATTTCACGATGCGGATTCACCCATAGAAAAAAAGAAATATTCGCAGATTTGGAGAAATGTGTTTACATCAGTGAATAATAAAAACACAACACCAAGCAGTCAGCACTCTTTTCAACAATTAATCGTTAAAAGAAATAAGAGAAAAAATAGAAGTAGAGAAAAAAAAGAATGATAAACGCGTGGAATATTGGCTTAAGGACTTGTGTTGCGTTTATTAAATTTTCATGGTAAACAGAAAGTGACCGTTCGTGTTAATATTGTGTAAAGTGATCGATCTATATGCGCGTTTCACGAATAAATAAAGTGGAAGTAAAGAAACGAAAAAATTCTAAATTTTTTCCTTTAGGGATTGCAGAAGTGTGTCAGGGAAACTAAAGATCCGTCTGTAGTGTTTGGCAATTGATGTAGACACGGAATGTGGAAGTTCCGGTTGGCGTATCGGCAAAGAGACGAGGAATACGTTCGATGGTCGAAGTTAGATGTGCGGTTGAATGCGTCCCTTTGTTCGAACTCGGAAGAGAAGATCGTGTCTCGCGTTTGGCGTACAGTGGATGCTACGTGATACTCGAAAAAAGGGCATACGACAGTACGTCGTGTTGGTTCGCTTTCGTGTAGTTACAGTGACGCGACACGTGTTCGATGTTAAAGTTGAGGTGAAAAAAATTTCACTCGGAAGTCGCGAATTGGTGGTCGCGAGTATTTCAAGATGGCGACTGGTATCATCGTTACATCCGCAGGACGCCGACAACGTTGGCGTCATTTACTGGTCCGCGCGCATCTCTTTGCCGCCATTTTGTGGCTCGACGCCATCTTGACGTGCAGTGGGCAGAAACCGATCAACCTCGGTGGTGTTAAGAAACGTGATGTCTACATTGCCGGTTTTTTTCCATACGGGAATCACGTACCGGAATGTCACCTGGGCCGTGGTGTCATGCCTTCTGTCAAACTCGCCGTCGATCACATCAACGAAAATCAAACAGTTTTAAGAAATTATCGGCTACATATGTGGTGGAACGATACAGAGGTAATGTTTCTTCCCATTTCTTTTTAAGTTTTTCTATTGACGACATTGTTTATTAACTATTTCATTTCTTTCTTTCTTATTCTTTTTTAGTTTTTTAAATTATTCTCTTGATTTTCAAATTGGGATTAAAATGTCCCACATGACTTAGTGTTAATGTGTTTAATTACAACTCAAACATTCCGCTAGCGTACTTATTATTTCAACGTTTCGCTTAAGCGCATAGCGATGTTTGATGTTTAGTCAGCGATATTATTCATTCGGGTCATCGTGGGTTATTGACCTCGGAATACTCTGACCCATAACGTAAAACGCATTATTGTAACACCGCCGTAAACTATATTGATCGGTTAATTGCTCGAAAAAACAGGCATATTCATAATTTGAAGAACGCAGCATCGCTTCCTTTCGCTTGTTAACTCTGTGCGAAAATCGATACTACCTAGGCCGCGAGAGAATAAGAGATTTTAAATAACGTGTTCTGATTGTTCCGAGTTTTCTTGTCATCAAAGGAATATCCCTAGCGAATTATCTTTAAAAGTACTAAGAAAAATCGTTTGCATAAAGTGAATGACGCCTCTCTGATGGTATATATCATTCTTGTCATCAATTTTTTCTTCTGTTTTACTTTTTTCTCGGGATTTTTTTTTTCTTTCTTTCTTTCACAACTCGCCTCATTAATTCAGGTCTATATTGAAGTAGATAGCGCTGCAAGCATTTCCTGGAAGAAAAGAACTTGCGTTAATAATAACTTATTAGAGAAACTATTCTAGGAGGTGTAATTCTCTTCCATTAGTCTTTTAGAATAAGAAAGGGAATATATAACCTAGGCACTTCGGCGAAAACTTTAGCAAGAGAATCGTGACTCTAATTTCGACACCGACGAGAGAACGATCATAATTATTATAGTAATATAAAGAGAAAGACCACTATCATCATTTACACATAGTATAACGATCAATGAATCGTAACGGCGCTTGCTACTGCTTTATTGTCTCAATTGTATGAGTTGTAACTGAAGTACGCGTTGTATATAGGTCTCGTGTTCAGTCCACCGAAAGATACGCAATATCCTGGCACCGGACGGTGCTTTATATTCACGAACAATTATATCATTCGGTACCATGCCAACGCGGTTTCGAAATACCAGTAAGTTTTCCGTGTCTCGATCGACGAATTTTTTAAGGGAACGATTAAGCTAAACATATCTCTACTTAAGCTTTAGCTTGATTTTAAATTTTGAGTGATCAATCAATTTTTTTAAATTAAATGAATATTTTGAAGAATGTGTGGCTCTAAATTTGATTCTTATTTAACAGAAATGTGTTACAAAATAGATCCTGATTTTTAATTAATTAAAATATTTTATAAATTCAACACGTTATATTAAATACCATTTATCTACTAATTTTTCGAAACTATATATAATTATTATAATTTCGATTGTACAATGTACAAGGAATGCCATATTCTATATACGAATGCATCGATTCTTTTTTTTCTCGGTGTAATATAAATATAATTTTGACTGTTGTATTATCAAACTTAAATATGATAGAAAGTTCCAAGTTTAAATTCACACAAATACGATTTACATTCCAAGCTATTAAGGATTGATACACAAATGATTAATTTTTATTACAATTAATGAATAGAACTTTGTGAATCTATGGTAAGCAAATATTATACGTTCAAGATAGATCTCTCTTCTCTAGTACAAACATGGGATAGCAATTATCAATATTTGCATATTCAGAGAATGCGTTATTCCTATTGGTAAAAGGCACTGTAACGTGAGAATACGTATCCTTATAATATTATTGGTTTGTCTCTCTATTATGTGGCATATTAAAGCAAATTTTTATTGTATGACTGGTCAATATCTTCGAGGTACTTCAAAAAAACTTTTAAACATCCGACAGAAAAAGAATTTGTTCTCATTGATAATGAGTTTGTATCTAAGATGATTCGGTAAATGTTAAAAGCGAGCATGACCTTGTCTGAAAAGAAGAAAGAATGAAAGGAACAGAGAGGAAAGGGTAAGCTTCGATCGGTGTCTAATTATTTTTGCAAATGTAACAGAGTCAGTTTCGTGGTGATATCGTCGATAGTGACATTCACGTTGAGGGTTGAGGCTAAAGGAAAATGATGGTCGTTGATTTTTGCGGTTGGTAGACCGTTATATAGCGAGTTTACTCGGCAGATCGATATTGTACAGCCACTGAGTCAAGGTGAGCTTTTTCTCTCTCTTTCTCTCTCTTTCTTTCTCTCTATCTATCTATAACTCTATTTCTCTCCCTCTTTTTCGCTTTAAGTCTTAAGCTTTGAGTTTCAAGTATAACCAAGAAAGTAAGCCATCGTGAAATGGATAAGCAAGAAGAAGAGAAAGTATTAACGGCACGGTAGCCAGTGGTGTTCGGGTTGACCGTCAGAACAGCACGTAGAACCGCGTGTGCTTACATAGACTCTTTGTATAATTTAATGCCAAGGATGCCCTGGACGATGGAGACGGCAATATACTCCGTGACATTATTATTGGTCGACGGTTGTTCGCCGGTGCGGCTTGTGATTATCCATGGATCGATTAAATCGAGCGTGACCCTGTCCTCTTACCCTCCATATGATGCCTACTTAACGTCGTACATACATTTTTCTATGCGATCTTGAATAAGGTTTTACTTGTAATAGATATGCTCATCAGTTTATTTCTATCTTTATCTTTGTTTAATCATTATCATATATCATGTATAATATATTATACATTTATAAGCGCGCGTTTTATAAAATAAACCATAAAAATATTTTAACGATTATTTTTGTAATACTGCGTGCTCATCATTATTAAACGAAAGTTTTTTTTTTTGTAAATCTTTTTATAATTGGAATAAGCTGCAAAGTTAAAAAGGAAATATTTTTATTACGATCGAAATTTATGAAAATAACGAGTATGGATTAAATTATTACTAATTACATTTTCTCTGTGTATGAACTGGTTTATAATTTATAATTGGAAAATTTATAATTGGGATGCGTTGCGGACATAAGTTTATATGAATTTGTTTAATCCATTTGACCTCAATAATACGTAGTATAAATTTGGTCCCAATCATTTTGAATACTCTATATATGTTAACGTTAAAGCGTGTAATTCAGTGTAATTCAAGAAATGATATGGTAACTCAGACATTTTAAATTGGATTTCATTTCTTTCGTTTTCTTTATTAAACATAAATTCAAGTGTACTCGAGAAATGTTGGTAGAATTTGTGGATAATAATTATTGAGGCAATAGAACACAGTAGGAAAGTAATAATTATCTCTCGAGAGTTTACTTGGTAAACTTTATTTGTTAGTCGTCATGACCGCATTTCTCTCGAAGTAAAACCGCGAGGGATATGTCGCATTTTTCGATCGTTTTTTTACTGAAGTTTCATTTATATATTCATACACGTTTACAAATGTTATTGGAAAAAAATAATAAACATTTGTGGCAATGTATTTGTCAAAATAGGAAATCTTCCCATGGCACATTTAATTTCTAGTATTCTGCTTAATTAAAATAAAAGAACCGAAATGATTCTTAATTAATATTATAATTATATCTTCAAATATATATATATATATATATTATATTAGCCATTTTTGGAATATACTTTTGGTTAACTTTTTACTACAAATACTACATTTTGTGATACGTATAAATTCTTTTTACATAGCCAATACAAAAAAGAAGATAAAATTGTTGACGAATAAAAAAAGATAGACTTATATTTATTTGTCTTGATCGGGATGGATTAAATTGCAGAGATTATGTTAAAATAAGAGAATAAGGGTACAACAAGAAATTTATTTTTATGTTATTCTTCTTTTTTCGTAGACTAAGCAATCCTTTTTATATGCACTATTTACTATTCCCAATTCGATGGACCTCCGAAAATAGTTAAATACAGGGACACAAAATCCATTTCAAACATACAGACATATACAGCAATAGGGAAATGTATTTTTATACTAGGTCAGCAATTCAGAACTCTTCTCTCGCGGTGTTTAGAGGTGGGGTTTAAAAGAATGAAGAAACCTTATGCTTTGGAAAATGGGAAATCGAGAAAAAATTCTCGTAGTTTTTTCTCGTTGGAAATGTTCCCAAATTTTTGGCGCTTATTGATTGGTTGATATAAAGAATTTCGAATGTTGCTTTCTTGCTTCGAAATAACAGAATATTTTTCTCTTAATTTGTTACAAAATGTTAATAGATTTAATGCTCTGTTTTTTCTTCATTTTTCTTTTAAATAAATAAAACATTCAATTATTATTATAAAAAAAAATTGAAAAAAACCGTTTTATAATTATCTTCATTTTAATTTGCAATTATTGCGTATTTACTTTTTCTGTTATTTCGAATAATAATTGTACAATAATATTGGAAATACATGAGATTAAAACCAGCTAACTCTATCTTTTTTCTGTATTATTTGATATCGTGAGAAAATAACATATTGTGCATATTAATTTTTTACAACTACTCTATGTTTTTTTTTTCCTTTTTCATCTTCCATTTAGTCGCGATGATAAATATCCACGACTGACATAATAACCAATAGATTTTATCTCTCATAATCAACATGTGATCGACAGATCGCAACATCTCTCTTTTTCATACTCTATTTAATATTTATTTTCATGTTTCTTAATGCTGATTTTTATGTATATTGCTGTTTATCGATTCTTAATTTTTCGAATTAATTTAATTTCTTTTATTTATTTACAATGTCAATCACATATTTTGATAATCTTTTTATTTAAAATATATCTGTGTGTAGATTAGTAAAAGTTAATCAGTAGATGCATTTGTAAAAAAATAAGATTTCAGAAAAGTTCATTAGAAACAGTGGTCGTAAGTGGTCGTCAGTTTTGTTTTAGATTTTATTTTCTCTAGAGAACATAAATATTAACTATATACGCATATGTTAGTGATCATATCTCTTTTATGATACTTGCTATAAAATGAGAAAAAAAACAGGGGGAGCTTTTATATGGGCAATTAGGTAATCTCATGATGTCGTGTTTTTATCCACATTGACACGATCTCAGAAGAGTTTTTTAATGGCCATCGCGAATGTGTCATTTGGATTAAAAAAATAGACATAGAAAGTAAGAGAGAGAGAGAGAGAGAATATGCTTGTCGTAGTCGATCGATGACGTGCCTCTTTGCTAAGTTTACAATAGAAAAGAAAAAAGAAATCAATAGGCCAATGTCGTACCGCATAATCAACTTTTATGCAAAGTAAAAGAGAAAAAGAAGATTCTTGTTTGTTATTATTATTAATGTCAAGTGTAAAATTTATCATTTTCGTAATCCATTTTATTCTTACAGATAGATTATAAATTAAAAATATTGAAAGAAAGAAGAGAAAGAAATAAAACGGCCAGAAATGTACGAAGTTTAAACGCTTTATATCAGAAAAAGAAAAGAAAGAAGGTAAGAGAAATAGACAACAGTGTAATATATTATTGCCGGTTTCTTTCACAATAAAAAGATTATAAATAACGATTTCACAACGGGTGAACATTATCAGAGATATATTAAATGTAGCCCACATTAAATTAGGTTCTATATTTCATTGCACCATAATTTATACGATAAAGGAGAACATTAGTTTAAATTTTGGTATCAAGAACATAGAAAACAAATAGGGAAGGAGGAAGAACATAGAACAAGATGCCCTGAAAAGAGATCTTTTTATGGTGTAGATATACATCGTCCGGTTTAGTATAGTCTATAAATTTTAACAAAGAAAAAAGAAAAAGAAAAAGAAAGAATGGGGTAAAATACGAATTATTCTTAATATAAATACATTGAGACGATTCTCTAAAAATCCCACGCTTTCCTTTTTCTATTTTTTCTTTTCTTTTCTTTTGCCTTTAAAGTAATTACATGATTTATTTTCAGCGATACTTATTTTATTACCTAATGGCTTCTCTAATAGCGTTATATAAGTTTAAGAACATTTTTTTCTCGTTCCTTCACTTTGCAATTATGTTACTATACATCAAATTAACCTAACGTTTATACAGTTTCTTATTACTTGGACTACAGAACATGAGAATATAAACGAAACTACCTTTATCTTCTTTAACTTCTCATCGGCCATTTTGTGGCTGACATTATCCTAATTAGATTCATCTAATTGAAGTGAGAATACTACTCATAATACTTCCTTTTAGAAGCGTGAAAACTACTTACACCCTTAATGGATTAGGCGCGAGATCTCATTGTTTTAAAACGTCTTTTTGGCGTCTTTGCCATTTCAGAATTTCTCTCTCTCTCTCTCTCTCTGTCTGTCTGTCTGTCTGTCTTTCTCTCTCTCTCTCTCTCTCTCTCTCTCTCTCTTTCTCTTTCTCTGTATGCCAGTCTCCTATTTAATTAAATTTATGTTCAAAGTAAATGTTCTGCTAGTAACAATGTACCATTTGAAATTAGCGCACATGTGTTTCTGCAATCTATTAACTTCGCTTGCATCAAGTAATACGATTACAATTACAATTACAATGCTGAAGCGTAGTTGAAACGATTGAACACAATCATAGTATAACGACTAAATCGTATTTCGATTGCTGCTGAAAGGACATTACGTTTTGAATGGTCATCGAACAACGACCGCACATTTTATTCTTTGCGGAGCTGTTGAAAACGCTGACATTTCTCTCTTTTTTTCTATCTTTCTTTTTCTATCTCTTCCTTTTTATCTACCTTTCTATCTTTCTATCTTTTTTCTATCTCGCTCTATCTTTTTATCTTTCTCTTTTGTTTTCTTTCTCTTTCTCTTTCTTATCTGAAAGACGAAAAAATGCATGCGTAGATCAGGCGGTCGAATGCAATAAAAATTTTATATCCACTTTGAAACTCTTAAAAGAGAAGTTTAAGATAACTCAAGTTTTTGTAAAATGACGGAGTCGCTTCAAATTAGACTTCGTAGTAGCAATCTTCTTCAAACGGCAATATTTAGTTCCTGTCTGATTAGCCATCTTGATATATAGTCTTATTTAAGGATCAATGTTTTGGAGAAAATGATGTTACATAATTAGTTGTTAAATATTTGCATCTAGGATGTATAAGGTATGAAATTATTTGGAATTTGACGAATAATTGCTACTGAACAAACATCTTATTTTCGTACAAATATTTGAACAGTTACTGGTATAATAAGAATCAATTTTTTAACTCAAGGATCATATTGGAAAACGTTATAATCCATAGAATTTCGATCGTAACCATTTATTAAATACTGATTTTATTATTTCAAAAGAGAATTACAAAGTAACTTGAAAAACCTTCCGTACTACGATATTTTATTCGTATTCTCGTAAATATAATATTTTCAAGGGATGTAAAAACGACAAACACATCTATTATACAAAATATTAGGTTGGTGCATATGAAATGTCGGATTTTCTTTACATGTGAACGTTTGTTTCTCTGTTTTCATTATTCTTTTGTTTTCGGCATTACTTCGTTTATACTCGTACTGACTGTCCATTGCCAGAGTCACACATTTCAATAAAGCAGATTTTTTTCAAAAGTTTTCAATTTTGGAATGTTTTTAAAATTTCCTAAGGATATGAAGGTAATTTTTTTATGAGTATAAACTTTGTAATAATGCTACAAAAGCTACACGCAATATAAACCAAGCGTTTGAGGAAAATACTTTTAACGATCAAAAAGTGCAACGTTGGTTGGAAAAATTTCAGTTAAACCTTTATGTTAAAGGTCTTACCTCGTTGAAAAAAACTAATTCCTGTACGATCATTAAAATTAAGCAACGATAAGCACGATCAGTATTCGGATAGGTGACTGCTCGGAAACATCATTTACTATTGACTCCAGAGAGATGATAAGACGGTTTCTATGGAAAGGTGAGGGGGCTGTTTTTAGAAGGTATTGTAGAAAATTTCTTCAAACGTATAAAAAAGAGAAGAATAACGACATAACATATCTACGTAAATATGTATATAGTATAATATACATGTTTCAGTATACACACACAAACGTAAAAACAACAAGTGTGGCAGCTTTACTATCGCAGAAATATTTGATATTTATTTCTCCATACTTCTATATACTTCTCTATACTGGAAAGGCTATTTTTTATGACGGTTTACGTGATACAGGATTTGCAGAGTGACCCAGATTCCTAAGGTAGGTCAAACTTATTGAAAATATGTTTCCCTACGAATCTATCTAACTGCCGTAGAATCATGCTCCTACCTTTCCTCGTAATTTTTATAGAAAGTTAGATAAAGACAGCAGAATTCAATTTGGCGTGTGATACATATTTTTATAGTTTATTTTAACGTTCTTTTTCGATAGACATTTTTTTGAACAGGAAAACCAAATGTCACATAAAATGAGAGCTTTTTTTATGTTTCGTTTTTTTTTTTCAGAAGATATTTGAATTACGACTAGTTGGACGAATTGTGCTTTATCATTTGTCTCCTGTTGTCTCTTTTTTTTTTCTTCCATGTGCTTCTTTCTAACTCTTTGTAAGTACCATTCATACTGATACATATATATCTATCTACCTAGTCATATATTATAAAGTGTATCGGATGTTTTCTTTTAAACAGTATTCGTTGCTTTTAGTGATATAGAAGATACAAGTATACATCGGAAGCAATGCCGTACGATTTTGCTTTTCGCTAAAAGTTCGAGAAGATCCGTTTGAGATGGCTTCGTAGAAGAATCCCTTTGTACGAAAGGCGAACTCCGATGATTTATCAAACATAAAAGAGCGTGAAACTTGTATACATGATTCGGATATTTCTATCGAACACAACTGTTTGTAGATATGTGTGTATGTTTTGAGCATGGGAATGCTATACTATGCAATGTATAATAATCGTTTCATATACTCTCGGCTCTTTTGAACATTAAAGCCTACATTCTTTTCAATACACATATACGCGCACGCACACACAGTTACCACATGTTTCAATGCTTCCCTACTTTCTCTTTTGCATTTGATTTTTCTGTGCTTTCGTGTGAAAATGTTTTAGAATATTCGAAGTGGTGACAATAAATGTCATTATTATTTTTTCAATCGAATTTGCTGTACTCGATATCGCACCAATATTTTCTCATCTTATCAAGTTTCCCTTCCGCCCTTTTCTCTTTTTTTTTTTTTATGCATAACATCTGAGAGCACATTTATTATGTCAATCTTTTCATCTAATTTAAGTTATCGTTTTACTTTATTAAGCTATTACTATGTTTTATTGTCTTTTTTTATCTGTTGTTTTAAACATTATAATAAACGTACAGAATATTTTTGTTCAAACTTGTAATTAAATACGGTTTTCTATAACACGAATTCAAACAACGTATAAAATATTAACGGAGTTATACGGGAGTTCGTAGGATTAGATTTATTGAAGTACGAAATATATGAAAACAAAAATGAATAATAAGTTTCACTAATTATTGCAATTCTGGCTATGATGCATACAACTCATTATAATCTCCTCAAAACTATTTTAAAATACTCTCTAATATACATAACTAGACATCCTGTCTATAATTACACACGACTTAATATACTTTCTTGTTGTTCATTCATCTCACATTGCTCACTCAACTCATTCACCGATACACACACTTACAATCAGGCTAGCAGCAAACATTCACTTACAATAATCTTAATCGATATCGCACCGAAATATAAACTTAATAAGTCTAAAAAATCTTGTCAAAAAGTGACAAACGGTATGATATACTGTTTGTTTCAATTTATATTGAAAACTGTCAAAGTAGCACGATAGTCATCTTTTAATATATGTCGATAGCTTCGAGCATACCGTCAATCGTGTAACACGGCCCAGTTTTCTAACACTTTTCGACATAAAATGTGAACAGCGCAATCGTGCTGCTTGACACTCAGACGATGATTCAATTTCTTCATTTTCTTCATTGTCAATTAAAAAATATAAAGAAACCAGATAATTTACTCATCTACTACACACACACAACGAAGCATTTAATCTTCGTCGAAATATAATCAAACAAAATGTTTCAAAAATCATCGGATATCATGTTTCTTTTTTATACACTCAATGAAGCGACACGCATGCGCACCTGCGTTCTCTTCCAGTTGGAAAGCTGTAAACTAGCACGAACTAGATACGATATCTACTTTTAAGATTTCTGCAAATAGTACTTGAATCGAAAGAAAGAAAAAAAAAGAAAAAAAAGAGAGAAAATAAATAATGGAAAGAAAGGGATGGATAGAAATAGAAAGAGAAAGAGAAATAAGATAAAGAATAGGAACAACGAGGCCGTTCTAAGTTGGAACTTCGACTATCAATCTCTCTATCTCCTTGTATCTATAGCAGCCCCTTGAATGCCCCTTGTGTAGCAAGGGTGAGATGTTTGCGATGGAATTTGAAAGTTCAACCCTGCCGAGGGTTTTTGGTCCTTTCGAGGCACTCAGCCACTTCACCCTTCACTGTTATATGGCGCTTTAACTCCACTCGTCCATCGACCCTCCTCTTTTACCTACTTCAACCTCTCCTTCAACCCCTTCTTTCCCATTTCTCTTTCTCTCTTTTTTACTCTTTCCATTCTTTTTTATCCTATCTTTTCCTCTCTCTTCCTTCATTTTTCTAACGTCAACGTACTTGCCCCTTGGCATTGGTTAGATTTAAACCAACGATCGAATAGAGCTTCTTCTCCCACGTTAGTTCCAACTCTTTCAGTAGCAGTAGCGGTCTGCTTTCATGATTTTCTGTTTCGCGTTTATCTCTTAGCCGAGTCGTACCACAAAATAGAGTTTCTCTGTGTATATGAGGAAGAAAAGGAAAGAGAAATTGGAAACATCGACAAAGGGAAATTGATCAATAGAGGTATTTGTTTTTTTGTTTTGTTTTTCGGATTTTTCTAATGCCCTGATTTACGGAAGAAAATCGAAAAGTTGTTCTTATTTTAAGTTTTTAATTTTTACAATTTTTTTCGGCAGAAGGTTTACTGTTAAATAATCATTCATTATTTATATTTCTTCATATATTATTAATAAGGAATAATGTCTTAAATTAATATTCTTGTTCTTATTATCGCGTAACATTCTTTCCTTAACATTTTTCTATTACCTTTATTCTATTACCTTATTATAAAACTTTGCATAAATTCTATTAAGTTTTTCTCTTTTTCCTCTCTTCTTTAATCCTATATTATTATTATTATTTCCATGAAATAATATTTTAAATGATAATTCCTTAAAATATCAATCAATTTAATTGTAATAATAATAATAGCAAATTTGAATCATGTCATTCTGCATGATACGCAAAATTTTGTTCTCGTACATGAGAGAGAAAGAGAAATGAAAAGTGTCAAGCGTGGACAATGAGGGAGATTATTATGTAAATTTGTGTCAGTTCGGGGGTTAGAATATTCGAAAATTTCAATGCACCTGTTCATAGAATCGTCTGTTTCTCTTTCTCACCTACTCACTCAATCATTCTCTTTATCGTTTATTCTCTATCGTGTAACGAGAAATTTTGAAAATTGTCCCAACAAATTTTCTCTTTTACCTTTCTTCTCTTATCTTCTCATACGTATACGTATTATCGTAGAACGTGTTAATTAATTATCTTACCTGTCATTTGACAACGATTATGCATCGTAAATTACATTTCTACTCGAATGCATTTTTTATTTCTCCTTTTAGTTAAAAATAATTGGGTTAATTTACATACATGTTTAATCAATTGCTCTCACAAAATTATATAAAATATCTTTCTTCCGATTATATCTTCATCATATTTTTGGTAGAAAGAGAGAGAGAGAGATCAAAAAATAAAAATAAAAATGAAAACGATAGAAGCCGATTGGTCTTTTGGTGACGCGTGGTAATTAACTGTATTTCATTTTTAATTGTCAACAAGGCGATCTCTTTTTCTCTTCATTTTACCTTCCTCCCACTTTCTTCTTCTCTTCATCACAGTACTCTATTCTTCTCTTTCTCTCTCTCTCTCTCTCCTTCTATTTTATTTTTTTTTTTTTGTATAAGCTTTTTCTCTCGACGTTTTTACTCGGCTTTCCCCATCGAAGTCGAGCTGATACAGTAGCTGTTGTTGATGTGGGCTGGTAGAATAGTGGTAGTAGTGGTACTTGAATTTAAAGGGTCGATCTTCTTCGTTGCCGTCTCTCTTTTCTTCCCCAAACAATTTCTATTTATCCCCTCCAACTTCGCCTTCGTATACTGATCGTCGAAAGTATTGAGGTAAAAAGGAAGATAGAAAGAGAGTGGGTGCTATCTTCGCTTTTAGAAGAGTTTCTCATCCCCAATATATCCTTTTGTTCTGAATGTAATGATCGGGAATGGATCTCTGATGGATCGGATTGTAAACGCGAATAATGTTCCGCAAAAACAAATAATTCAATGCAATTTAATTGTAGCTTATTAATAAATTCAATATACAATAATAAGAATAAATATATAAATTGTTTTTACAAATTTCAAATGGTTAATAATATAATTTTACATTGTTCTTATGATAATAAGAAATTAATAAAAATAACGTTAATGATGAATATAATAATAATGGTCATTTAAATAAATTATAGTATGAAGAGAAATTAATGTATTTAGTAGGTAAGAAAATGCATTAATAATATGACAGGAATGAGCGAGATAGGGATGTGTAAAAAACCTGAACACAGTATAAAGATTTTAATTTCTAATCAATATATTATATTTATTTTAAATGAATAAATATATTTTTGAATTTGTAATTTTTATTATTTTGTGATACTTATATATTATTAATATTTATATAAAATTTAATTTTAATATTTTAAAATAAAGATTACCTAGCGTGTGTGTGTGTGTATGTAAAATTGTAATAAAATATGATAGAAAAAAAGAAGAAAATGTCGAAATTCTAAACGATATTAGCTTATGTTACTCATGACAATGATAGGTGGTTTTGATATTCCCATGAATAAGAAAAATATCAGAGGGGGAAAAAAATAAGAGAAGAAAAGATCAGAGTGCCGTGCCACGTGCCCTCAGCTCCAGGGCATATAAGGGTAACTTTTTAAAATGCAGTTAATTCTATCAATCGATAAACGATTTTCTCCTGACCCAGATTTTGGCGATTCCGGAATGACGTCACATTTCTATATCGTGTTTGCCTGTGTATGTACGTATATGAATATCGTTCGGCGTCGTGCCCAGGTAATTTATTCTTGTCTAATACTAACGGCGAATACTACGAGTCGCGCGATGAATATGTAAAGAATGTTGCTCTTTCGGGAAAGGGATTTTTATATCCTTGTTCAGAAGCGATATATTTTTCATTCGATCGTGAAAAATTCGCATTTTTATCTTTTCTACCGTGGTGGTAGTAAATATCAAGTATTGTTGACAAAAATACAGAGATGGATAGATATATATATATGCTTATAACAATATTGAATAATAAGAAATAAGATTTGAAGATACTAAGAAATGCAGATCTCTCTTTTTCTCTCTTTAGTAATTTAAAAATCTAGATAAATTCAGATATATGTAGAAATGAGATAGTCGAACATAGGGATAATGACGGAAACTGAAAGATAAATAGAAAGAAAGATGGCAAATTTTATTCTTTGTCGAAATAATTAAACAGAGTGAATTAATGTAAATAATGTATATATACGTACACTTGCATTCGCAACACATTATGTAACTGGGAAAACGAAAATTTCATGACCTCTCTTTCTCATTCTCGTTTAATTATCATCAATACAGTTATTCATCGATTTACATAAATCAAGTCTCTCAGGAGGGAAGAATCGGGGTGTAAAGGGTTGGGATGGTCTAGATGCTCTAAAGCATTGGCACCGAGCATCGAGTAAAGCAAATATTTTCGATCAACGATCCGAGCGGCCTATAACTATGCAA